TATATTGCATGGCTCAACACACTCCGCTCCGCCACAAGCGCCACTTTGTGGCTCAGCACACTCCGCTCCGCCACAAATGCAACTTTGCGGCTCAACACACTCCGCTCCGCCACAAGCGCAACTTTGTGGCGAAAAAAACACTCCGCTCCGCGACAAACGCAACTCTCAAGGGATAAGCTGAGAGTGGAGTCATTAATTACTTCCTCAACAATTCGCAGCCACACACTAGTGTGCACACGTGCTCGTCGGGTATCTATCCTTTAGCAGAACCTGTAGTCCTGTGCGTCCAACACAAACTTTTCCCTGACCCGCTCCAAAAACTGCGTCTAAACGTGTGGGAAAATATCGTAAATCGTAGAAAAGTCTACACAGTCTCGGAGATTCTCACACTCTTCTGAGCTCTGTAAACCATTCGCACGTTTTACCACACGTTTAAGCACATTGCGAAAAACACTCTTTTCACAAATGCCACAAAACACACGGCGTTCTACAGGCGCCGCAACCAAAAACAGGGCTTTTGCACTTGTAAATCTTCCAAAGCAAATTAGTTCGTCCTGTGTCAGGTGGTTGATCGCTCCTTAGATCAGTTCTTTCTCTCTTGCTTCGTGTGCATGATTCCTTTAGTTGGAGTCGGACGAGTGGTCCCACAGGTGACGGAAGGTTGGCTTGTTTAGGAGGGTTTTCGTACGCTCGGGTTAGCTTGAGTCGTACTGGCTTACCCGATCAGGCCGCGTAATAAGCAGGCCGAGTCGTTCGACAGGATCAGACACAAGACAGCGGCCATTCCAATGTCTCATTCTGCGCCTGAGATTGTGTCGAGGTCTTTTGAGATGTTGCTCGGCTCTCTAGAGGAGTGACATGTCGGGGCCAGGTTAGACTGGACGTGGAAGACTCGCGAAGCCAGATGCAGAAATATTAAAAGTTGAGCGACGGCGCATCGGCAGGAACTGAAGAAGCTCGGGACAGACCGCAAAGCTGTGGTGATGAATCCCGCTCCTTTGCTTGGCAACCAGTGGGACAGGGGTTATCTTGTGTGAGCCAATGCGAGCTGGCTTGGGTGTGTTGTGTGAGAGCAGGCGAAGATACAGCGGAACGCGTCCATGCTGCGTACTGCGTCCCAGATGACAGTCGCAGGCGAGGCGGTCACGCGGGGCGCAGACTTGCATCGTCAAGCGCACGAGGGTTTCTCGTTGGTAAGAGCTACAACATGCCAGGGGTCGATACCCAAAATTTGTGCCAGCAGGTTCGGACGGACAAGACGCTCAAGATTTCGGTCCTATAGAGAGGCGAGGGCAATGCCATAGGGAACTTGACCTGGGGCTGTAGTGGCTGCAAGGGCTAGCAGCTAGCAGTGATGGGCACTGCTCGACGTCGTTCAGAGCTCAGCCCCTTGTTGGCTCAAAAGGGAAGGACAAAGCTGGATCCTTCCCAGCATCAATGCTCTGGCTTGCGGCCCCCGCATGGCTTTCGTTGGCCAGTGCGGTCACCTATGTCCATGAACAGGCTTGTGTGGATCTTGCTTTCGACAGTGTTTCTTGAAAGCTGACAAATGCATTGCTAACGAGACGTTCTAGATATGCGCACGATTTGTTGCAAGGATTACATGAGCGGCTTCTTCGACCAGTGGGATTTCGTGCCTGCCGATGATCCCACTCACGGCACTGTTGACTATATTGCGCGTGAGGACGCAGAGCGTTTGGAACTGGTGCGCAGTCACACGAACGGCGTTTTCATTGGCGTTGACAACGTGTGACTTTGCGGAAATTGCGGATTCGAGCAGCAGAGTGTTCGCTTCTTTTCCGTTCGGGCGCAAAGCCGAGGACTGTTCTAAATCTCACCGAGGGCAGAGGGCGCAAATCCATTCGGCTCGAGTCCACCAAACGGTACAACGATGGGCTGTTCATCATTACCCTGGACCACGCTCCAACAGGTAAGGCTATGAATGCCACACATGTCTTAGCTAGGCCGTTTTGCTGAGTGTGGAGGTTGAGGTTGGTTGTAGCGACTTCCGTTGCCCAGTATGCCTCACGAGGCTGTGGCTCCTGGCCGGCATTTTGGATGTTTGGAGAAGACCCGGATCATATTTGGCCAGAATGGGGGGAGTTCCTTGGTGTTGGCAGCTGTTAGGCCTGTTCTGCTCATCTTGTCTGTTGCAGTCACTACAACATACCAGTGGGCAAGGTTTGACATCATTGAGTGGATTCACGACGAGGAGAACGTTTCTACAACTTTACACACGAAGGCTGGCTGTACCCAGTCGCATCTCAGAGAGGGAAAGCACATGAAAGCCTGGTGGAATCCCGGCATCTATGGGAGAGGAAAGGCGTCCAACTGTGATGTGCACGCACAAGGACAGTGGCAAAACCAGGGCTGTTCACAACGTGGCTTGGCGGGCACTGTGGGCCCCAGTTTCAATGCGGGCGGTGGTGGCACGTACGCGGCCGAGTGGGACCCTTTGGCCGGACACATGCGAGTCTGGTTTTGGCCCTCGGGCTCTGAACCCGAAGATGCAAAAGGCCCGACACCGGACCCGGAACTTTGGGGTCAGCCGGATTTCTACTTCGAGCTTAGCGATGTATGTACGAAAAGCCATTTCAAGAATATGAAGCTGGTCTTTGACATCACCTTTTGTGGCGATCTGGGCTCTCCCACCTTTCATGAACACTGTGGCGCCAAAGCGGCCAAAGCGGGCCACAGCAATTGTGAGGCCTTCGTCCGGCAGGAGCTCTTGAAGCGTGTGCGCGTTTCTGTGTTGTGAGAGTTCTGTTCTGCTAGTAGCAGATCCCAGGAACCTGGGGCCTTTCACCAGACATACTGGTGGGTCTCGGCCCTTGATGTTTACCACCGCGAGGAGAGCTTAGATCGCGCCTGAGTCGTTTGCGGTTCTGCTTCGAGTGAGGAGTGGTTAAGAACTTCGGATCTTGGGGCTGAGGCCTTCACGGATCTTGACTCGGTTGAGACCTCCGCTGGATGCAGGTTCGGATATGTTCGGTACTTGCCACTCTTGCCGGCGATGCGGTCGCGCTGGGGTATGCTGCAGGCCGGAGCACGTGACCGGCCTGGAATCTCGGATTCAGGACGACCGCTTCGTGTGGGGGTGACGGAAGGACACGGCGCTCCTGCAGGAGCTCGAGGGCATCCTCGCCCAGAGAGATGGCGAACTACGCGATCTCTGGGCGCAGCTGAAGGAGGAGCCTGCAGCATCCTGCAGCCTGGAGCTTTCGACTGAGCCTTCGCCTTTCCGCAGGAAGGCCGCGGCCGGCGTCCGAGCCTCCAAGCGGATCTGCTTCCACCCGGACATGCGCCCGAACCCCGGGGCCCGCAAAGCTTGCCATTTCCTTCCCTGTGTTGAGCATTTGAGGTCGATATCTGGGGCCATTGATCACTGATCTCGCTTGGATGGCTACAGATACCATGGTCCGGATCCAGAACCGCAGGATGGACGAAAGATCTTTTGATTCCTGACATCGTAGCCCGTGGCGAAGTTGACGGGCAATCGCGCTTGGTTGGATGTGGTGAGCAAATGTGAGCCAGGCTTAGTTTAAAATTCAATCGGCCCCAGCCAGGCCTCCCAGAAAGCTTTCACTGCCAAACCTGCATGTCTGAACCTGCAGGCGGCTAGCACATGCCTAGTCAGGTCCTGCAGGCAGCGTGAGACTTAGAACATGTGCCAAGAACCGGGTGATGCATCTGCACGCTTGCCGGCTTGACCAGCTTGAGCAGTACTACAAAGAGGAAGGGAGAGAGAGAGACGGAGCGAGAGATCGGACAAGGAAGGAGAACCTACGAAAGAAAGATCCATCTATGCGCGGGTTATAGGGGGTCGGCTGGTGCTCATTGAGTAAGTAGTATATACAGTAAGAACCCGGAGCGAGTCGGTCAGCGAGAGGGAGAGCACTCTGCGAATGCCCCATTCTGCCGCTCGCCCTGACCCGGACTTTTTTCCATACATCTCCCTTTCAATCAAATCCTCATCAAGGATGCTACTATATCAGGGCGGCGCATGTCGCAGGTCTTCCGGTACTAGCATGGAACCGTATTAACGAGGAAGTCTCCGAGTGCAAGACTGCAATAGTGCCCGAAAATCCCCTCAGAAGGGACGATGTGAGGCGTTTCATCTATCTTGCCTTTGTAGCGACACGGGTGACGAGAGCAGGGCTGTCAGAACTTGCGGTGAAGCATTGGAGCCTTTTCGGGAATGACAGGGGCCCGTCCTTCGAGCGGGGGGCGATAGCAGACAAGACAAGACAGGACACGAGCTTTGTTCTGTGTTGGCTCACTGAGCCTCCGGAACGGAAAGGCGGGCTGGAATTGATAATGACAAGGGCGCAACTTCGACACAAAAGCCGGGCATGGAAGAAAGAGCGGGCCTTCTGCCCGCAAGACAGGAAGCAGCTGAAGACTCTGGGCATCCTTGGCTGTGGAGGCTTCGGCTTTGTGGAGTGCGGCGCTCATTGCAACGTTTCCGGGGTAGTATAACTCTAGTACAAGAGATGGTGTGCAGGGGCCGTGGGTCTCCGGAAAGTGCACTTGCAGAACCAATCCGCACAACGATCGTCCTGTTTCCTCCTTGTGTGTTCGGTATTTGGGGCCAAGGCTTGTCGAGCATGACCTCACTGGTGAGACCTATGCCCTCAAGGCAGGGAGCATGTCACCGGCATCTTGCTAAGGTCTTGACTCTTGACCTTGGATACGGTTCGTGCTTCCAGTGCCAGAGAGCTAAAGAAAAGCCTCGTGACTGCCCATACCGGTATCCTTGAGGCGATTAGCAAGGGCTACATTGTCAAGAGTGGGATGAAGAACAGCGTGTTGCAGGCCCAGGGCCATGCGCGATTCCCATTCCGAGTACCTCTTCACGTGGCTTTGCGTGTAACTTCTGAATTTGCTGATGCGTGCGTTGTCGATCTTCTCAGTTGCGACATCTCGGGTGGCATGCAGCTCTACAAAGAAACGAACAACCCGCTCCTGGCGGACATCGAATTCGAAGCTGACTGTGAAATTCAGACCTGGGCCCGTCCTGCCCTCTCCACTGGTGCTCCTCCTTGGGTGCAAGACGAGAGCAGGGTAAGCTGGTTTGCCGGCGTTATTCTACTTGACTTCCTGCAAGTTTTGTTGGGCGTAAAACCGCAAAAGGCAAAACCATGCAAAACCAGCTTTTCGCGTTTTCTCTTTCCGGCGCCGTTCTCCAGCGCTTTGGCGACGGGCCAGCACGCGTAACCGCGTAAAAGGCATTAAAAGGCGTCTTCTCAGCATAGGAGCGTAAGAGTGCGCAAGCGTAAAGGGCATTGTTTCGGTGTATACAAGCGTAGAAGGTAAGCTTTTTTGTCACTTTTCATTGTTTTCGCCTGAACCCTAAACCTCGAGCCCCTAAACCGTGGCCTAAACCCCTTATCGTCTGGCTTAGGGTTGAAGCCGTCAAGGGTTCAAGTTCGAGCCAGTTGGCTGACCTGCCGCCTCGACCCCCTTTTTGGTGCTTTGTCACTTTGCTTCCTTGTCTGCTTTGCTCTGCAATGCGCCTTCTCTCTCGAGCTTTTGATGCCTTCTGCTTCGGCTGCGGATGTCGATTTTTGCTTGCGAATTTTGGGTTTGTTTCGTGTCCAAAACTCGAGTTTCTGGAGCTGCCGACTTCGCCCGATTTTACAGATTTTTTTGGTCTCGGATGCCTTGATTTTTGACTGTTTCGATCTTGCCTAACTTTCTTTGCTTTAATTCAAGTCGTTCTCGGAAAGAGCATTCATGGCCCAACCATGATGGGGTCCGTGGTCGAATCTGTTCTGAGAAGAGTGGGAGACAGCACCCATGGCCCAACCATGATCTCGTCCATGGTCTCATCCGTTCTGAGAAGAGAGTACCCATGGCGCAACCATGATGACCTCCACGGTCTAATCTGTTCTGAGAGGAAAGAATCCATGGCCCACCCTGAGAACATCCATGATTTAAGCCATTCTGGGAAGAGTGAAAGAGAGAATCCATGGCCTAACGATGAAGTCCATTGTCTCATCCGCTCCGAGAAGAGAACATTCAATGCCCAACCATGATGACGTCCATGGTCTAGTCCTTCTGAGAAGAGAGAATCCATGGCCCAACCATGATGACGTTCATGGTGTAATCCGTTCTGAGAAGAGAGCATCTAGGACCCAACCATGATGAAGTCCATGGTCTAATCTGTTCTGAGAAGAGAGCATCCAAGGCCCAACCAAGATGAATGATGACGTCTATGGTCTCATCAGTTCCGAAAAGAGAGCATTTAGGGCCCAACTATGGTGACGTCCATGGTCTAATCGGTTATGAGACGAGAGCGTCCATGGCTCAACCATGATGACGTCCATGGTCTATATAATCCGTTCTGAGAAGACAGCACCCAAGCCTCAACCATTATGATGTCCAATCGGGTCCATGGTCTTATCCGTTCTGAGAGGACATCGGTTCACAGTTGTGGGACAGGGTGTTATGCTTTTCAATTTTTGCGAATTTGCGGGTTCTGACTGAACCCTATCAAACCTTTGGAACAAAGCCGCCGCAGCCGTGCCAGCACCATGCTCGTGTTTAACTTTCTAAACCTGTTCGGCTTTGGGTCCATCGATGGAGTGAAATTTCGCATTTACTTGGTTCGTTAATCTTAAAAAATTGCGTTTGTGCAGTTTTACATTTTTCGCTCGGTGGCTTGCTATTACGCGTTTACATTTTTCGTTGGTTTTTATGCTTTACATATTTCGCACAGTGGCCTGGTTTACATTTTTTCTTTCCGCTGCTTTTGCCGTCTTACTTTTGAGTCGTAGACTGTGTTGCAATTTCACATTTTCCGTTTTAACCCTTTTACGACGAGCTGCGGTAGTGCATCATACATGCTCTTCGATTTTTCGGCTATGGGTTTCGGGATGTTTGCAGTCATTCCTGTCACGCAACGAGTGTCACGCTTCTTATGTTTCGGTTTTCTTGGCCTTTATTGGCTCCACCCCAGCCTCCTACCCTGTCAAAGTAGGGTCTAGAGTTATAAGAACAAACCCCAGCCCAGAGACTTCTGGGTTGGAACAATGTACACCATCCCGAGCCTGTCCTAAACTTACAAGCGAAGCGGGACTGTTCAGAATGCAAAGGACGCATGCATGCCAGGAGAAAGCAGTCCACATGCAGTGCGACTCGCTCTTCATTGTGAGGCTGTTCGAGCGACTTGAAAGCACTATCGAACACTAGCCGGCCGCTAGAGCGGTTGCGCCGTAGTAGGTGTCCGGCAAGCTTGCCTGGTGTCCTTATCTCTAGGACATACAACTCAGCAGACAGTTGGCTCCTCAGCACTCGAGACACTGCACTTGGCTTGGAGATACGCATCGGCCTGGAACAAAGCCAATTGCCTGTTGCCAGTGCTCTATTTCCTGATGGAAGCCGCACTCGGCGGGGAGCTTTATGCAACGTGAGGAGCCGAGCTGTCTCTGTCTCGCAGAACATCAGTTGTCCGTCTGCCTCGTGTTTGGCAGGTACAACCGAAAAGGGTTCTTTGGCAAGGACATGCACCACCAGCAACCGGCTGTTGGGATGGAGTTGCAGTGCGTGTCAAGCACACACACACAGTATATACATATATATACATATACACACATATGCATCTGTGCTGTATGTATGTATGTATGTATGTATGTATGTATGTATGTATGTAATGTATGTATGTATGTATGTATGTATAGGTGAATGTATGTATAGGTACATGTATGTGTATGTATATGTATATGTATATGTATATGTATATGTATATGTATATGTATATGTATATGTATATGTATATGTATTACATATACATAAACATGTTTGTTCGTTTGTTTGTTTGTGCCTGTCTTTTTTTAGTCCAAGACTAAAACTGCTGTATCTGCACCCTTTTGGACTTCGTCTTCGAACGTGCGACTTGCAACTTTCGCTTTCTATCGAGAGAGCCGTTTCGTTCCGTGATATAGTCCCAGCAATTAGTGTCAAGGTCAAATGGTCAGATGAGGTCACACCCATTGGTTGCTGGTGCTGCCACATACATGGTAGTTCTCATGTCGAAAAGACACGGAGGGATGTTTTAACAGTTTCTATCAGCCTACCATATGCTAGCCAATACCAACAACAACAGTTGGCAAATACAAAAAGTCAGTGCAGACAGCAATGACGTCGCGGGAAGCTGCCGAGAGGCCGGCAGGGCACACCGTAGATTCCGAATCCATCTCAAGGTAGCTTGTCGGCTGCTGAGTTTCTGGTCTCGCACCAGTCATGCGACGGTTTGAGGCAGGCCCTGGACCTCCTCATTCGCAGATACGATGTGGACGAGGTGGTCCAGGACGGCGTTTCTTTGAGTGATAGAGCGGAGAATCAATGCAGATGTCCTTGAGGAGATGCTCAAGCAAGTGCTTATCGCGAAGCCTGAGAACCCGCGAAGATTTCTGCTACAATACTTAGAAAAGGACACGGGCCCAGCTCGGCCGGATGCCTTGCGCACGAAGCCCGTGAGCTCCGCGCGCTCGGCTTGACTTTCCTGCAAGGACATTGAGGCTGAGGGCGGCGACCTCTCGGATGCGGACCTGCAGAAGCTTTTCCTGGTCTCCCGAAGGATAACTGGCAAAATCATCCCGCAAGAAACCATCAGCCGCCTATCTGAAGAGCAGACAATTGTTGCCACCATGCTTGCTGACTATGCTACCCAAGATCAGCTATCTTTAGCTCATGTAGAGGAGGAGGAGGAGGAGGAGG